ACTAGATCCAAATAATGGCCACTTCCATAAAATTTCTAAAATCAATGTTATTAATTAAATATACATTTCATAAAATAGAATAGAAATAGTTAAAGACATATTAAGATACTTACCAAGCACCTGTGCTTTACAAGCAGCTACTGCATTATGCTGTACATTATTCCATGCTTGTTGGACCATATTTGACCACTGCTGTGGTCGTGGTTCTCTTAAACTAAGCACTGGTTTTGGTAATAAATATTTAATTTCCTTTGTAGTTGGTTCATGATTCATATCTGCTGCCCTATGTAAAAGAGCTGCTATTTGTGCCATATCATACTAAAGGAAAATAGAAAACATTAGTTTAAAATTCCAAGTAAATTTCTAACGGTATATATAATGCATAATTAGATAGGAGAGACTCACTACAACTTCTTGAGGTAAATGTTCACCAGGCAAAACTAATAAAAGCCCCTCCAAGTAGTCTGGAGCAATCTGGTTGAAGACAACTTCTATATACAATGGTGCATCCAGTCTGAGAGGGTAGTACCACACAGATCTAAATTTAAAAGGATCCTATTAATTTTTTGTAATTTTCTTTGCACTCCTTTCTGCTTTTAAGACAAATAGATCTGTCCATTTTCTAAATAGTTCCACAAAAAAGTGTACCTGCAGAATATTAGATAAAAGACCTGATGATTCTTATGAAGTTCTGTAGTTACATCTAATACATATTCATCTCTAGCCAAAGGCATTGTAAATGCATCACCATCAACAATACAATATAATGAAAATTCGTCCATTTCGTGAGGATTTCTTACAGATATTATATTGCACATCTCCTCAATGACATCCTGTTAATGAAAATTAACATGTTATCAATAATTAATCATTGTTGTAGTACTTTAATTAGATAGTTAATACCTTTCCTGATTTCAGTTATACTCAATTTTTACAATTATCTTATTAATTTTCTATTCGTTCTACATTTACAATTGATTTTTCAAATATTTCGAATTTTTAAATTTGAATTTGTACTAAAGCGCGGGAATTTGTATTGCATTGCAGGCTGGGAACTTGTCGTCCGCCATTTGCCGGTCGGAAGTTAGAGTGACGCGTGTGAATAGTGTAGTTCTGTGAAAAAGTGGGAAAAAAGCAGAAAATAGCAGTATTTTCGAGCCGGTAAGTGTTTTAATTTAATTCATTATAATTCAGCTATCATCCCAAGTGTTTTTTTTTACTGTCAATTGCTTAATTAACGAGATTCAGACGAATATTTGTGCCTTCGCTGAGCATGCTATTATATGGGTGGGGATTGCGTCATGCCAAATGGCGTCATTGCGAGTTCGATATGCTTTGTGCTATGATTTTGTGTATTAATAATGAATTATTAACAATTATAGTGTGAAAAATCATTAGTAAATACAGTTTTACATCGTTAACGTAAAGATTGTGTCATGAATTGTCAGTATTCCTTAAATCGTTCATTCCTTGCTGGGTTTGTTCGTTCATTTTGTCGATTGTACTATTAAAATGCAGTGTAAAGAACATTTTTAAACAATTTTATAAGTAATTTATTTGCTGTTATTTTCTGTTTTGATTATTTTAACTTTCATTGTAATTTACTTTATCAATTGTTTAAATTCTTCATATTTTTATACTTGCTACTGCATTACAATTGCTTGTTATACATTTTACTTGTCGGTGCTTAATTATTAATTCTTTAAGTATAGAGTATTCCAGAGCTAATTACTTATCGTAGGCTATACATGATACTTTTATTAGCTTTACGAATGCTCAGCTTGTTAGGTTGTGTTATTATTAATTGCTGCAACTGGTGTTTTATCTCAAACAACTAAAATATGCTAATTTGGGTTTTGATTAATTTATTAAGCTTTTGTTATTAATATTGCTTCTGCATAGTTTTTACTAAAGTGTGTTATTAAGGGATTCTTCTGCAATTTTTTTGCTTCTGAGTGTTTAGTTATTAACGAATGTTTATCCTCAGTGTTAAGATCCATAGAATACAGACTTCCTAATTTGTTTAGCTTATTCTTCTCCAAATCTGATCCTCTATGTTACAATTATCAATATTAATAAAAAAAAATGAGCTTACCTGTACCACAGTTGTACATTTGGTATTAATCACCCTTTCTGTCCCACCTGGTAGTCTATAAATCTGCCTCTTTGCATTTCTACCAGCACTAATTGCCATAATCTCATCCACACTTGGCACATTTTTCCTTCCTCCATATTTCACTGTTTTCCTGAGATTCTGTAGACACACTGTGGCTGTGCCATGGTAAGCTCTCCTTTTATCGTAGGCTGCAGTTTCCAGATATTTGGTTAGATAAGGCCTCAGACCGTCGCTGCAAGTGAAGTAGGCAGCAACAATGCTGAAGATCCTCCAGCCACGTTGACAGCTATCAGGATTTGGACTCTTATTGTTTGTGGTTTGTTTCATTAGTTGACAGTAAACTTCATCGCGAAGTAGTTCGTACTTGTGACAATGCTGCAACGAGATTGAAAAGGGTAAGAAAGGTAGTTATTTATAGGAAGAGAAAGTGATAGTTTCTATAATTATTTAGGTAATTAATGTTAATTATAAGTATTACTTTTATTTTATTAATGTAAGAAATTTTTGGAAATAAAGACTGGTAATGGGAGAAATAAGTATTTGTACGATATGAAATTTATGCCCCTGCCCTGATAATTATTTTAACAGTAGAATATATTTAGGTATTTTAACAACATTTGTGTGTTTATAACTAAAACACAAATGTTTAACGCACTGTTTATAAACTGTGCAGTGTTTTGCCTCAAGAGACTGTTACAGACTCCATCGTGTAAGATCATTTAGGAGAAATCTTCAGTAAGAAAAAGTATTAACCGAGAGTAGATGAAAATAACTTTTCTTGACTACAAAAAGTAGGCTATCCGACTATTATTAAATTCTTGCCCTAAATAGAAGATATTTCAATAAATTTCACCATATTTCATGCAATAATTACATATAATGGTACGCTTTCACAAGATATTAAAAAAAATAGAAACGTGGATAAAAAGAAGATAGAAAATCATCAAAACTAATGCCACATATTTCAGAAGATTCGTCCAGCGAGGAAAAATAGTATTATTACTCACCATTAGAATGGTATAAACGCATTTAACTTCACTGGTATCCGGTGGTAAAGGTTGATCACCCATGTATCTCATTAGGCATAAGAAACATTCCACTGCCAACGCACTTAGATCTCCATCAAGTCTCAAAAGACTCTGTTCTATTGGTACAGCAGAGTACTTTACAAGATCCACCTGCTCTTTCCAAGTCCATTCTGCACCATCCTGTTGACCCTTGCTCTTCTTATTCTTCTTCTTACTCTTCAAAGACTCGATCACCTTAAGTGATCCACTTATGGATCCATCTGCTGTTTTCAGCATCTCGAACCTATTAAAAATGAATATTCCATTGAAACTTGAATATCATAAAAACCTTGTGACGGTGATAGGAAGTTGTAATTGCGCAAATGGACTGTTGGTATATCGGTTTATCGAAGAAACGGGACTCGTAGGTGACGTAAGTAATAGTCTTCCAAAACGGAAGACGTCTCGTTGGAGGAGTACGCGATCGTAAATGGGATTTCCATTGCAGGATGTTGCCACAGACGTAGGAAAAAGTCTGGTTGAGAGTACTGGCTGGGTGGTCGTCACTTGTCAAAGTCATGTTTAGGAAGTCTCCACTCTAGTTGGGCGTTTAAACGATTCTTCTTCGACTTCGTCTCTTAGTTATCTGTTGGTTTTTGTCTCGAGTCCTCTCCCGTTTTGCCAACGATTACAAATCCGTGCAAACTGCTACATATTTCTTTACAAATCCCGACGAATAGTGAAAACTGTTCCAATTAAATTTAATTAGCTGTACACGCTGGTACAGTTTAATGGCACCGAATGGAAAAGCCAAGATACATTTGCAACGTCGATTCCCATCTTTTCTATGGAAACTTTGCTCGCTCGATTCAAACAACAGTACATTAAAACGTACATAGCTTTTAGAAATCTGTTCATCGGCGATTGTTAAACTCGAACTAGGTCGTCTTCCTCCCGTCTGGCATAATTCTGCACGACGAAAAGAGATAGAAATAAAAAAAAAAAAACACGAGTTTCTGTCGTTGCTTATAGAAACTTCTATGATCCGACGATCGGATTCTGGTTTTCTCGACGCGATACCGAGGTGGCTTGAAACGGTAACTCGCGGAATAATGCCAAAAGAAGACGAGCCGTACTCGTTAGCCGCACGTTCACCAAGATGGTCGATGTTACTCTGAGAACCTCAGTGCGTTATGCTTTCTCAACACGGCCGGCTTGTCTTTCTTGCGTAAGAGACGCCAATTAGTCTTTAACATTAATTTCTCTTTTATTACGGTGGCTTGTTTTGGTAAAAGTGTTTTTCTTTCGTATCTCTGGTTTGCCGATATCATGCCATTTTTTCTTAACTTTTGGTACTTACTGATTCCAGTCTAGAATGTACAGCGTGTAACATTTGGAAAAAAAAGACGAATAAAGAAGAGTACGTTGCAATGTTCCATTTTAGATGTAGCAATTAAACATGTTCAAAGAAATTAGAAGATACGGTGTACTTTCTAAGTGTAATTAAAAGGTAAACATTAGGAGGATCTGTAATAGTATAATAGCGAGAAAGCTACCGCGTTTACCTGCAATTTATAGTTGTGATCTATTAATGTAAATGTTTATTAAGAAGATGAGAGAGGCTTCAACTTAGTTTCTAACGTAAATAGAAAATTCTATTCTTCCATGTTTTGCGTCGAATCGAACTGGAAGTTTTTTTTTTCAAAAAATTGAACGTTGCCAGCTAAATTTCGTAGGATAAAGTGAAGGAGAATACTAACTTCTCCGTGCTTTGTCTGAAGTTTAGCATGGCATACTGCAGCAGAGAGTGTTTGCCGTCGTTGACGACCGGCCCGCTCTCGTAAATGCCATCTTCTTGCAATCTGCCGTTGTCTTCCGGTTGCCGCCATTCCTGGTTCGGGCTAAGTCGCTGGTTCTGCTGGTTTTTCTGATGATTCGTCTGGTTCGTCGCTGACACGTGGTTCGGCACACGACTCGCCGACACGTGGTTCTCGTGATTCGAGATAAGGTGATTAGGCTGACCGTGGGATTGTACGTGATTCGACGTGCTGTGGTTCGCCTGTGATTGGATCGATTTCGTGATCTGAGAGACGTGGTTTTCGTGATGGTTCGGCTTGTGCAGAGGCTTCTGGTCGACCTGCAACCGTGAACGTACCATTTTCTTCATATAATCTCGCATATGCCGTCATTTTTATTTAGTTTATGAATTTGGAGAATTTAACGCTTGAGGTAATAATAATTCATCGAACAGGAAACCTTTGGTTGTGTCGTATTAAATTGTTCATTTGTTTACACTCGACGAAATTCACGTTGACGTGCGTAAATAGTTTTGTAAAAGGAGAAATATATATATATCGCGTTGGAATATTTTTGGAATTTCTGTTTTCAGTGCCCCAGTTGAAGCTGGAGATTTTTCAAACAGGTGTAACTTGCACCGCGAAAGTGGCGTGATTAGCAGTATTAATTGCAAGTACTCCGATAAACCGATAACGACGCAGCGAAATATCTCGAGCAGTGAGAAAGTTCATTTTTAACGTGCCTCGCGATATCATTTATTCTAAAACGCGAAATTGAACTTTCACGTGGGATCCTCAAGTGGGAAAAGCGGCGATCTAGAGCAGAGGAAATCGTTTCACTTTTTACCGAGAAAACGACAATTACAAGTTACGTGAAATTTTCATAGATCACCGGTACGGCGAACGACAAAAAGGAAGGCAAATATACGTCGCTGTCTGAATGATTTTCACTTCCGGAGCACGTCTAGAATTGTTTTTCTGCCTCCTGTAGGAACAGCGTCTTCCCTCATTTTTATCCCGATCGAAAGATCCGAAGAAATCACGTCCGAGCGCGTAAACCTATCGAATGATAAAATCCTTGTATGTGGGCGGCACGTCGTCCCGGTTTCACGAGTGATTTACACGACGACGGTCTCTCGACCTTTCCTATTATTCATTTTCTCTTTCGGCTCGCATTTCCTGCTTTTCACCGGCGTTTATAGTCGCGGATATCTCGCGCCGATCGATCGATCTCGCGGACGAGAAAACAGGTTTCCCTGCACGCGATCCAGAATCAACGTAAGGAATGCGAAGAATACGCTGTTCGAGGATTAACTTTGAGAGCCAGTCTCATTTTCTCCATTTTATTCCACTTGGGGAATCATCGTACGAAATCAGCGAGAGATTAATAATCCGCGAACGACACGATTCACGTCCGACTTCTTCTACCGGGCTTTTTTTTTTCCCTTCTTTTCCCGCTGTTACATCCGCGTAACTGGTTTTCACGAGAAGACCGGAGAGAGAGAACTAGGATGAACGAAACTGGATTCTATCGCGTGTAAGAGTCCGTTTGGAAAATATTTCGCGGAGGATAGCGTGATTTATGAAAGAAAATCAATGGCATCCGCGATGCGCGGCTTCCACAAACTTTTCCGACTGGTAATGCCGTGAAAGTCTTAGAGAGAGGCTCTCGTGTGATTGCTATTATTATATTCCTCCGCAGCTGACATATATATTTAGGAAATCGTGATTTCTTTCATCTGTAATTTTTCCGCGGAGCGGATTGCTCGAATGATGTAGCAACAACGCAACGCTGAATTGAACGTAATTTTCCAAGTAATAAGCGGTGGCTATTACCCGAAAATAAAGGAACATGTAGCGCGTTGTCAATTTTTATAGGTATCACGGTAATTTACCTCCGTACAGAAATTGCCTTAGAAAGAAAATTACCTGTCGTTCTTTGTCCTACTTTTTTTCGGTTTTACTTAATCAACGTTAGGATTCTTGAGACGTTAGATCTAGCAAATTATCGTTAGACACAATTTAGGTTGTCTCTACGAATTTACTCGGGATTTGATAAATTCGGATCAATTTTTCTTCGAGTACTCAATTGGTCGTGAAAGGGCCAATCAAAGTAGTGAAAATTCTTAATTTTTGTTATCAGTAGGTAGATTAAATTTTGTTAATTTTGTTTCACAAGGATACTCAAGCGTAGCATTGAGGGTGTTAGATTTATCAGTCAGTTAGATATAGCAAAAATTAATCTAAAGCCTGACTAGGAAGTATATATTTCTTTTGTATACGTCCGGAGAAATCCGTTTAGCCTTACCACCTCTGTTTAGTAAAGATCTAAATGTTTATGATACATGACAAAAGACCCTTCGGTCCCAAGCGGGGTCGTAGGCAATATTGGGGCGTTGCGTAGGAGCATTCTCAGTCTGTATATAAATGATTATTAATAAGGATTATTAATTATTTAACAACCAATAACTCCCATAATCCAATAGAGGGTTAATAAAAATACAGAGGATTCTCTGTTTTCGTTATCAACAGGTAGACTTAAATCTGCAATATTTCCGTAGCATTTCTTTTCGAATGCTCAAGTGGAGCACATGAGTTCCTTTAGTTATCAAAGGGTTAAGAAAAGTAGAGAGGATTCTCAGTTTTCGTTATCAACAGGTACAGTAAATTCTCTACAAGAGTCAGTAAGTTTGGATTCTACAATTGACAGTATAGATGGTCCTACGCCTTATGGGTGTAACGCTACACCAGTCGGTTTCCTTTACGAGATTACACGGCTCCACAAATCATAATAGAAAAATATAATTTCTTTAATTTTACTTTTTTTCATCTGGAACTTTTTTTAACACGTTGGTGAGATTTTTCTGATGAAAATGATATCAAACACGATATCATTTGAACAACATTTACTTATTAACACGTTCACTGTCGCGCCAGATTTACAGGT